AGCATGAAACATCCTGTCGCCCCTGAGTGTTGATTTCAATGTTCACTTTTATATTTATATTTACATACGCTCTATCTCTGAGATTGAGCACTTTATCCCATAAATATAGCACACCTTAAAACTATATTTTTCATATATATATATATATATATATATATATATATATATATATATATATATATATATATTTAGGCAGCTTATCTTCATTCAGGCATATTTCATTGATTAATACAGACATATTGTATCTTCATATTTTTATACTGATCTTTTCCAATTTTTTAATCAGTTTTTTGTTGTTAGCATGAAATTCATCAAGTAAGGCTCTGTAGTTTGTTTTTATAGCCCATGTACCAAACCCCATCCACAACATACTCGTAGATATCACAATTATTAGAAAAAGGCTAAAAATAATGGAAGCCCATATAATAAAAAAGGAAAATCCAACGTTCATTAACATTAACTTTGATCATGGCCACAAAATGCTGACCATGTTTGAAAAAAAACTCTCCTATAACTTCAGATACATACATAAAAAAAAAACTAGACATTCAGTTAAAAATAAAAAAAAAAATCATACTTGATAATGGCTAAAAGAATAGCCGAAAGCTCTAGGAATATTCGGACCGTTTTTACAGACTTTATATCCAGAAAAGAAAACACTTGTACGAACACAGGAAAAAAATGATTTAGATAAAAAATTAATCGCAGTATCTTGTCTGTTATCTTCGATGAAACTCATTACGGCCGTCTTAATAGAAGATTATAAAATGTTATAAATATTAGTATTTAAATTTTACAACCGTTACTTTTCAATCCATAATCTGAAGTTTGCTGTATATAAGATACTTCATGTTTTTCAAATGGTGAGGAAAAATTTTAAATTATAAATTAATTAATTACACATTTATTTATATGTATAGATTTTATCTTTATATCAATTTTCTATATAAGTTTTAGCTCAGTTATTTTACATCAAGCACTTTTATTACCACCCGCACTCGTTGTGCAATATTTTATGCTTATACATATATATATATATATATATATATATATATATATATATATATATATATATATATATGTAAATTTAAATGTGGTAATTATGGCCAACAGCCAGTGACAGATTTTTAACCTTCCAAGCAATCTGCAGCTATTGGTTATTGTATTTTGCGTCGACTATTTATATATGCTAATCAATGGTGCATTATGGTTAGAAGGTCTCTTTTATTATCCTAACGGTGGGTGTAAACGTTTCATACTATTCTAGAAGCTATTGAGTAGAAATAATTGTAGGTCTGAATGCAGTTATTTGTCGGTATTTTGTAGTATAGTGTCATGTTGTTTGACCTGAAGATTTTACTTAATCATAAAATATTTTGTTACTGCTGGTGTTGATCTCAATGTCCACTTATGTCTTATGATTTACAAGAACTCTTAAGAAAACTTCTGATCGAAAACACTAAAATTCTATATAAATCACATCATCAGAAACATCTCGTTATTAGAGAGGCCCTGTATATCAAACATTTCTCTTCAACTATCAACCTTACCTTATTTAACAGTGGAAATGAAGTTGCGAAACCATTTTTTTTTTAAATAGAAAGATGTTCACACGAATTCCAGTCATGGACGGAAAGTGAGAGCTTGAAATGAACGCACTTTATAAAAAAAAAAACAATACAAAAATAATTTACAACGTAACAGTCAAAACACAAGGAAAATAACAACGCCTGAGCCAAAACATTCTTGAGTGGCCTAAAGCGCTTGGGACAATAAAAATTATGGAACATTTTTGTATTCCCTAACTCCTACAAATTGGAAAAACGTTAGGATGTTGGAAAAACCAGATAAAAAAAAAATAATTAAACCTTCCTTTTCTTTTATATATATATATATATATATATATATATATATATATATATATATAATATATAATCTGTTTAAAATATTCACAGTTCTATTTTTGCATTTTTTGGGTCGTCGATGAACCGATTTAATTTTTATGATGTAATAATTTATAAGATTGACTGAGAAAAAAACTTCACAGTTAGGAGTCGGAACCTGAACTTCTAGTCAATTTTCTTATATTCTCCATGAGATATGCAACCCTTCTACAAAGATAAATTTAGTGACAAAATCCTTAATACAAATATAGTATACCTCACCTCATATATATATATATATATATATATATATATATATATATATATTATAATTATTTAAAAAAAATATGATTCCATCGCTACACAGGAATTACCATGTTTCAAAAAGAGAAGCTAAAAATTTACAATTCAATTATAGAAATTGAATTAAAGTAACTAGATCTGTTTCATTTTCAAGCGAATTTTTGATTCCAAAATTCGATTGGAAATAAATGGAACTAGGTACTTTAATTTCTATAATTGAATTGGAAGTTTTTGAAACATGGTAATTCTTGTGTACCGATGGAATCATATTTTTTTTAAACATAATTATAATCTAGGCTCTACTTGTGTATCGAGCACTATTTTTTAAAAATAAAAAAAAATACTAAATAACTTCGGATCATCAACCTAACAGTTATTTCCTATTTTATCAATATATTTGCGTATATATATATATATATATATATATATATATATATATATATATATAAAATAAATGTTCAGAGTTGAATTAGACCATGAAACAGGAAACTTCTATCACACCTGACGTTAAGGGCTTATTCATTTATTTATTTTTCAAAAAAAAAAAAGCGTTCACAATTTTTGTATTATTTTTTTTAAAAAAAAAAAAAAGTGCTAGGAAATCTATGGAAATCGCCTGAAGTTACCGAGGTAGTGCAATCTGCTGATTTTCTTATTTTAGCACACACACACACACACACACACAAACATATATATATATATATATATATATTATTACGTACCAAATTACGTATGTACATGATTAAACGTAATGCATGATGCCAATAAATACGCAATAAGCATGTGTTCTTCGCATTTAAAATGCTGATATTTGCTCTCCGAGACGAAATATGTGTACAGAAGCTATGGCATTCTTTAAATAGATAAACATAGCTTTGAACACAAATAAAATGAAATTCACTTCTTTTTCTTCTGATTCGATTCTTTCATTCGATATTGTTTTGTAAATTATCTTTTTCGACACTCTGTCGATTAATGAGCCATTGCGATCAATTCTTACGCAAAAAGAAATAGGTCCCTTCATGTGGACCATTGATGTATTTCTACGTATCAGACATTGCAATTGAAAACCTTCATCAAGATATGAAGTTATACTTCCGTTTTCTCTTTTGGCCTTTACTTCTTTTTGGTTTTGGATTTCTTTTTTTCTTTTTTGGCTTCTGATAAAACGTATAACTTTGTGACAGACTTCCTTATTAAATACTGACCATTTCTTATTTAATTACAGGCTTCGGTAGAAAGAGCTGAGCTAATGAGAACCTAATCATGTCACGTGTCTACAACTGTGATTATATTTTTTTTTAAGGAAAAAAATAAAACAAAACAACAGCCGTGATTATGCCTCCGTGTTCGACAACCTTGAAGCCATTTCTTTCGCATTAACGCGTTTGATTTTTTTTAAACAGAAAATAAAATTCATATAATATGTACAGGATTCAGTCTGAATAAAACTCTGATATAATTAAGAACCAGAAATAGTACTACAATAAATACTGATAGGATAAGTGTGAGAATATAAAGGTGAAACAATAACGGTCACACTAATGGCTACTAATATTAGTGTACAGTTTTTTTAGTCTATTCCCAACAATAACAACAACAACATCACCACCAACAACAACAACAGCAACATTAATAATAATAATAATAATAATAATAATAATACAAGGACCTTGAAATAGAAATCTCGAAAATGTGGCATATGGGAACATCAGCAATCCCTGTTGTACTTGAAGCCCTAGGACTGGTTGGAAAAGATTGCAGTAGACTAATTGAAGGGATTCCTGGAAGTCCATACCTCAAGCAGATACGAAAAATTGTTCTGACAAATACAGCCCACACTTTACGAAGGGCTTTATCTATGTAATTTTTTGTTTTGACAGTGGAAAGTGTCATGATGCCATTTCTAACCTTAGGTCCATGGGCGGGACCCGGAAAGAAATGTGTAAACGCCAGAAATCAAAGAAAATAATAATAATAATGAGTACAAGTGTTAGAGGACAGACAACGCCATAATCAGATACTCTTGAGAATCCTGAAAAGTGGTATGAGATTTCACCAACATTAGTTGAAGTTGAAAATGTCAAATGAACCTCATATGGAATATGTCCATCTTGACTAACAAGCGCTTGGAAAGCAATCGTCCTGATATCGCAATTGGGCACGAGAATAGTCATCAACGGATCCTGATAGGTAGGAGAAATTAAGGAGGTAAGAAAACCTGGCAGGGCAAATCAAAGAAATGCACTCAGCATCAGTTCAAGTCCTCCATTTTCCTGGTTGGCGTGCTCGGAATAAGTGGCAGGGATCTTTATACTTCAAAATGTGCTTTGAGAATACCTGGCATCATTAGGATTGTTGTGTCTGTCAACCGAATCGTAGCGACATGTTTCTCTGTTATTTTTGTGTCAGCAAACGAAATCATTCACTTCAACCATGAACAATTTGCTCGCATTTATTTATTCTGTACATAGGTTTTAGAGACATTTTACGTTAGTTATCCAAAACCAATAGCATTTCTCTATACGTAGTTTTATTATGACCAATTATATTATGCTTTAAAACCTAGAGTTATTTTTATGACTTTCATTTATAACCATAAGTAGCGCCAAAGCACCGCGCTGGTGTAACACACCTACGCCATATCAGCAGCGACCAGTCGCTCCTGAGACATGGAAAAAGATGATAGGGTAATATCCGGACCAGCGATCATCAGCGATTATCAGCGATCACCAGCGACGAACTGATTCATATTGAACAAACAAATACACACGGTGATTCAGATTTCACTCCCTGCTGCCTATCATATCGCGAATGACCATGGTTTCAACTACCTATCTTCGGCTAAGACTGTCTGCTCAAAATGCTGACTGTCTATCGACCTTCGCTAGCTGCTTATCGTTTTTCGAAACCCCTCAAGCAGTTTCGTTTTCAACTTCTGGTTACCAACAAGCGTCTGCTCTGGGCTACGACTGCCAGCTAGTACCATCTTAGTAACTATCGTAGCGACATGCTATACTGTTATATTTGTTTCAGTTAGATAGACTCTTTCAATTTCGTAGACATTTTATGTTGGTTATCCAAAACTAATATTATTTCTTTCCTGTTCGTAGTTTTATTATGACAAATTACATTATACTTCATAACCTAGAGTTATTTTTATGACTTTCATTTATAACTATAAGTGACGGCAAAACCTTGCACTGTTGTAACACGCCTACACCATAAAACCAGCAGTGACCAGCCGAGAGGAAGATGATGAGGTAGTATCCGGTACAGTGATCATCAGTGACCAACTGACTCCCACCGACCACGTCTTCTACTAATCCATTTGAATCACCATGACATAAACCGCCTACCCTCGACTAAGATTGCCTGGTCGTACCAGTTCAACACTCTTATTGTCTATCGTCCTTCGACACCTCTCAAGCAGTTTCGTCTTCATCTTACGGTTACCAAAAACCGTCTGCCCTGGGCTACGACTACCAGTTAGTACCATCTTAGTAACTATCGTAGCAACATGCTATACTGTTATTTTTTTGTTTCATCAAACAGACTCCTTCAATTTAATCTTGAATAGTTTGTTCGAGTTTATTAATTCTGTGCATCGTTTAGGAGAGATTTTACGGTGTTTATCCAAAAGCAATTGTATTTCTTTTCTGTGCGTATTTTTATTATGACCAACTACATTATACTTCATAACCTAGAGTTATTTTAATGACTTTCATTTATAACCATAAGTAACGTCAAAAGCGTGCGCTGTTGTACCACTCCTACGCCTACGTACAGGGGAAGGAGCAGATGATAGGGTAGTATTCGAGACCACCTAACTCCTACCGACCGTGTCTTATATCAATCCACTCGGAAATTCAAGTTTCACTCTCTGCTGCTGATCATTTCGCGGATCACCGTGGTTTCAACCGCCTACCCTCGGACAAGTCTGCCTGTTAGTATCACCTCACCATTCCGACTGACTACAGACCTTCACTGATTGCCTGTCGTCTTTCGACACTTCCCAAGAGGTTTCGTCGTCTTCTGGTTATCAACAAATAACTACGCCTGCTAGTTAGTACCGACCCAATATACTAACTGTCTATCAACATTCGTCACTATTTAAATTATACACCACTAAAATTTGGCACCACTCAAATTGCTCCGATCATCAACAGTCGACACATCTGAGACCAATAGTCAATTACCAGCATGACCACCCAAGGCATTTGAAACATTCGATTTCATTCTTCGATTGTATTTTTCTGCCAATTTTTCGCATATTTTTTAACTTGGTCTATTCGCATAGATATTCGCTGCTTGTAACAAAATTTGCCAATATATCGTACACATTTGGCTGTGATGCGTATGTATCCACTATATCCTTATCTGATTGAGTATGATGATGTTTATATTGGCCTTCGTATATTTAGACCCCGGCGTCACTGTACTGGTTTGCTGCTCTCTTCTTTAGTATTAATAATAATGCAGTGGAGTAATGGATAACGGCTTGGATTGAGGAATCGGAGAGCCGAGTTCGAATTCCAGTCGGATCCGTTACATTCACTTACGTGTTAATATCCTTGGGAAAAGCATGAATTCGATTCTTCTCCTTCCAGCTATGGGTAAATAGCAGAACAGACTGGAGTCTATAGCCTGGGATGGCAAGCGATCAAGGAGAAAGTAACACTGAATTTAAAACTGTAGCCCTGGCGTAGCACATACTAGACAGATAATGAAAGGATCGTTCGAATTGGCTCGATGATTCCGACTACGGTCGACCTGGATTAATAATAATTACTTGCAACACTAAGGTATGTGAATTGGAAAAACTTATATTTATGGGTATATTTTACAACTTGGGTAAATTTCTCTCCATAAACTGGTCAAAATTATTTTTTCTTTATTTCTGATTAGAAAGCATCTATTTGTATCGTTTGATATTTTTTACAATAATATTCAACCTATACAAAGCCAAGAAACCACACGAGGTACGGGCTTACAGAGCAAGAGACAGGCTTTACGGAGGCGAGAGACAGGCTTTACGGAGGCGAGAGACAGGCTTTACGGAAGCGAGAGACAGGCTTTATGGAGATATGTGGTTAATCTAACGGTTAATTCTGGAATTGAACAAGTTAAAATTGTAATGAGGCAGCCTGTCAGGAAACGGTTCTACAAAGAAGATTTTCGAATGGCGTATACGTCTCAACAATGCAAGACGAAGGGAATGAGGGTAATTCTCTATAATGGGCGTGGCATGACGGGTCCTCGCTGTGAATGTTAGAATTGATGTAAAAAAAAACAACTTTTGCGTGAGACGTGGGGTCAACTTTTACTACACAAAGTAAAGGAAGAACATAAAAATTTCACTAGGAATTATACAGGGTATCAGTATTTTAAACTGCAGTCCGTTTGTAATTTTCACAAATATAATCTGTTTTTGAAAATAAACATTTTCTTACGATCTTCGAATGGATTACCCGAGACAGGCGATAAACAAAAAACAGAACCAGTTATCGTAAACAAAGAGAAGAAAACATTTAGATATTGGATATCACGCGGTTGAAGCAAAAACTAAAACATAAAATTGAAGGAGAATCTGAGAAACTATTAAGATTTGAGAAGTAACAGATGAAAACTAGAAAAGCTGAAAAAGAGTCGAAAATATTAAGGCAACGGTAGTTCTAAAAAAAATTAGGTATGACTACTGGAGAGAGTTCTGGAATGTTGAGAAGAGATGGCCCAAATAATCTCACTACGGATTTTACTAGATATTTCGCACTACACTTGAAATTCCTACATCGTAAAATAAAGAAGCTATTTCCCGCCTCAACATTCGACTTTCGATTCTAAAACCTACCCTGACATTAGGGTACTCGAAAAACAATTAAAGTTTGATATTCGTGGTTAAATATCTGCTGATTGTAGAAATTTATGTTTGATTTCCAAGCAAAATCCCATGAGGAATCATATTTCCGTCTTTGAATGTTTTTTTTCAAAAACTGAAATGCATGACACACTTTCAGTCTTGAAGAAAGATATTCCACAAATTCTCGAAGCAGTTTCTTACTGTTCTATTATTGTTCTGCTTTTGTTTCTTGACGATGGAATCTTTACTTTGACAAAACATTAATGTCTACCTTACACTATGTATTTAGATTAGTCCCATTAGAGAAAAAGTACAATTAAATTCATTTATGCATTTAAAAATATTAAATATATTCATTGCATAATATGGAGAAATCAAAACTCAAAATTTAATTAGGGAATCTGCAATGTCTTTAACTATATTTATTACGTGCATTTTATGGCAAAGTACTCCAATCATCTGATTTCTCTGGTCCATAAGAGGTGAGACCTTTGGAAAGTGACATATATTTCGTTGTAAAGCAATACAACGTCTACCAATTTCTTGCTCTGTTACTTTTGTTGGAGCTTCACATCACTGAATTTTACTGTTGTTATACAACTTGGATTGTTTCTTAAACCAAGTAGAATATTACTAATTAAATATTAATACTAATTAAATATTAATACTAATTAAATATTAATACTAATTAAATATCCCTGTTACCTATCTTTTTTATCTAGTTCTGTGGATGGAACATTTGAGAAACGACAAAGTTTTGGAGAAAATGGAAACAAAAAGAACACTTATGCATAATATGAAGAAGAGACAGTTTAAATTTCAGAAGGACATAATGAGGAAAAAGTGCTTGGAAAATTTGATAGGCATAACCTCCCAAACGAGCTTGAGTAAATGGCTGACGAAACAAAGTTTAGGAGAAATAATAAAAACACAAAAATTATTAAGAGCTACAAAGGACAGGAAATTGTGGAGAGTCATGATCGCCAAAGTCTTGAAGGAACGCGGCGCATAGAAGAATAAGAATAAGAAGAAGCAAAATCGAATGACGTTGTGTAAGTGGATGGCAGAAACATGTTTAGGAGAAATAACAAAAGTACAAAGTTTATTAAGAGCAACAAAGGGAAGGTAATTGTGGAGAGCCATGATCGCATAAGTCTTGAAGAGACACAGCGTAGAAACAGAATGAACTTGAGTAAATGGATGGGGGAACAAGGTTTAGGAGAGATAACAAAAAGACAAAATTTATTAAGGATAGGAAATTGTGGAGAGCCATGATCGCCAACGTCCTGAAGGGAGACGACACATAGAAGGAGAAAAATGAGCTTGGATGACGAAACAGAGTTTAGAAGAGATAACAAAAAGACAAAATTAATTAAAAGCTACAAAAGACAGGAAGTTGTGGAGAGCCACGATCGTCAACGTTCTTAAGGTACATAGAAAGAAGAAGAAGAAGAAGAAGAAGAAGAAGAAGAAGATGTTATTTTACTTAGTTTTTTCATTTTCTTCGATGTGTTTTTATTTAGTGGTTTATTTTTTCTATAATAAAAGCATTTAAATTATTTCTGCGCAGTATCCATCTTAACCCAGTAAATACATACATATATATATATATATATATATATATATATATATATATATATATATATATATATATGTATGTCTGCCTGGAAGTAGTAATATTAATAGTACAACGTTAGTATTTGAATAAATGAATAAGTATTAAAATTTCTTTGCATAGAATACTTTTCACTATTCTTCAATTATGTTATTTTAAATATTTTGTTTTAATATTCATTTCTTAAAAAGTACTTCGGTTTTTTTTTATTTAACTTTTTGATTTTTTCCATTATTTGAATAAATGAATATTAAGCTTTTCTCATATAATTCTATTCAATATTCTTTGTTTAATTCAAAATCTATGGTTATATTTCATAACATTTAAATATATTCCCTTTAAAAATTTTGCTTGGTGTAACGTGATATTTTCATTTGCTTCCAAGGTGTGCCGTTGCTTATAAAGGTTGAGAAACACTGATCTAAACAAACACTTTTCTGGTAATGCTGCTTTTAGCTATCTTTAGATTAAATGTTAGTAAAAAGATATATTTGATCTCTTCTCAAATACATTAATAT